TGTACGTGTACAGTCTGTACACAGTATATTGGTACATTGGTACATGTTCCAACTGCCATCCTATTAGTGCATGAACCAAAATAATGTGCATACATGGCAAGTATAAGTTAGTGACTCAGAAAATTTATAAAGGGCCTGTTACAATCAGATAAATTGAGAAGTCTCAAGAAAACTCTAAGTATTAAAACAAACAGATATAACTGTTTTCACAGGTTCTGCAATCCCTTTGAAACTTTACCGACTATGAAAAGGGAATTCAATGTGATTAACAAAAACAAAAAATGCTCACTGCCCACATTACAAAAGGTAACGCTGTTTCTGAAACAGAGAAATCTATCAAAAAGTCCACGTTGAGTTGCCTCCCAACCAATTCCTTTGACGCGCTGAATGAAAAATATCCCTGGAATGACACAAAAAACATTCAGGAAATGAAATATGACTTCCAAAAAAACACCTCCTGAAATGACAAATGTCAGTGAAAATAAGTTGGTGAAGGCAAAAATCTCTTCAGAGTGAGCGGCAGACTTGACAAGAATTCTTGAGAATTCAGATACTGCTTGAATTCCCAAAGAGAATTGAAATCAATCATCTGTGATTCATGACACTACTTACTAGAACTTTTAGTCACTCTTAACTTAATGGGTTATTCCACCAGTTAACTGCCTCTTCCTTTTTTCAATTTCTTTTTACTTGCAGCATTTCCACACAAACATAAATTATGCATACTCAAACTGTTGCATTTGGTGAAAAAAAAGAAGGCTGACTGGCCAAAATCAGACAAGCTAAGGTCAAGTTAGACATTCCTTCCAGTACACCCAGCCAACAGCAGCATACACTGAGTCCAAATGCCAGTGTGATCTTACAGAAGTTGAGCTTTTGGATTCATTAATTAAAAAAGGGTTTTCAGTTACACATGGACTGCTGATGTACATGTAAAAAGAGGTCTTCAGTCTGAATGTCTTTCAACTTGCCAAATTCTGTGTTGAACAGATATACGAAACACATTACCAGTACATGTATGCACCTGTACATGATCGAATCAATGCTACAGAACGTGAAATGTGTGGAATGATAAGGAGTCCATTCTCTAAATGGCTGTCAAAAGCATACCGCTTAGTCAGTTAATGTAAAATGCTTAGCACCAATTAGTCAACTGCAGTCTCAGGAGCGCACATCACAAGGTACTCAGGCTGAGAACCTTAACATGCATGCTAAAGCATGAACCCTAGCTACATGTACATGTACCAGCAGCAAGGAGGAAACTCAGACCTCAGCTATTTGGCCCCTGTCCACACATTCATGTTGTCCGCATCAGGATGGAGATGAAAGGCGGAATGAGACCTGACAGCCGCGACCCCGTCCGGGCCTGGTGTTGTCACAAGTCGACACATTAGGGGGTACGATGAAATGCCAGTGACTTAATAACAACAAATGCATTCCAGGATGGCAAGTGAATACTGCACTTTTCTTCCCCCAGTGCTCCAGGCAAGACTTTGATTTACATGTACACATACTTTCCTTTTTTTCATCATCGTTCGTGGACGCCACTGCTTCTTTGGCTTTAGAATTTCCTCGCCTTTTAGAATGTACAGTACTTTTCTCAGAATTGCCAGTACATTGTACATAAACATGTACAGTGTACACGTACGTTCAACTTTTAGCCATTCCAGTTACAGGTATAAGTTCAATTAAACTTTTTCTTTCTGGATGGTATACTTAATTTACTTCAATTTATATAACAGCAAGATCTCATTTTTTAGAAAGCCATAAATAATAATGGAAGTATGGTTCATGATCTACAGTTTTTCACAAACAACATTTCAAGATAAACATGCTTTTTGTAAAAACTAAACACTGTTTAGTTTAATATTCACTGAACACTGAACTACAGACAATACAATCAGAACTTTAAGTTTTATTGCCCTGGAAGAAACGTCACCCCACATTTTAGCCCCACAAATGAAAGCACATTACTTTAGTGTACAAAACAAAGTTGCACTTTAGAAGCCTAAACTTATCTACATGCAAGGCAATTTTTTAATACATTGCATCCCTCGGCTTCTTTTGTATTCATGAGTCATCCGTGAGTGGCACTCTTACCTGTGTTTGATGCAAATGATAATTTCTATCAAAAAAATTACCATCACTCCCCCCCCCAAAAAAAGAAAGCAAAAGAAGCTGAGATGCAGCAAACAATTACCAGCATCCACAGTGTTGGTAGTAAAGACTTCTAACCCTTAAAAAGCCTCATGTTTTTCTTTCCGTTCTTAGTCATCTTACCATCAGCTGGGGGAGACGCATCCCCCAAGAACTCAGCCATACCGGTACCATACCAAATCTCTGTGAAACTTTGCATGCGTGTACAAACATTCATCATCAGTCCAGCTGTGAAGTTTCCACTCAGTCCAGTGCATGATTCTGTTGATAATACGGTCAACTGAAGTTCAAGGCCACATACCCGTATGTGTCATCAAGCACTTCAATGGAAAACTGATGCTTTTGTGGCTGACCAGTCTCAGCAAAAAATACATGTACATGTAGGCCATGCGCCAGAGTGGTGCATCCGACTTTCACAACATTGGTGTCAAGACGTTAAAAGACATTACCGGTACTTCAACTGAAGGCTCAGCACCAGAACAAAATACACAGTGATGAAATAGGAGCAAATGTCGAGGGAGGGGAGGACAGATTCCACCCCCCAGCTCTATTATGATTAAACTTGAGAGGAAATAATGGAGGTTTTCTCTTTTTGGCAGAGGGGGAGAGTCAATAATCCTCTGAATGTTCTTCCCAACCAAGATGGACAGATTAACCTGCATGTAACTCTCGCACTTTTTCTTCTGAAACCATTGCCTGATTTAATTTTCACAATCGGCACCACATCATTGATTTAATAAGAATGTGTAAGGGACTACCATTATCCATGTCTCCATGCAGATGCTTTCATTCAGGCCCAGTGTGCTAGTGGTGTGCGCTGCATGCACCCAACAGCAAGCACTGCATTACCACCACAGCATGAGGCCCGACAACTGAACTATGCTTCAACTCCTGGGCTGAAGTTAACTTCATTTACAGGTTCAGTTTCACAGCTTGGAATTTCTTTGCAGCGGTGCAAACAGACCCACGAAAAGCTGTCACAATTCCTACATCTTGACTTACGGTAGCTGAGGCATGGGGAGATTTACATATGTACTTGTATGTACATGTATACCAGTGCAGTATTTCTGCTGCCACTTACTGATTTTCTGCAACACTAAATACATTTTGTTGGCCGAATTATGCAGATTTACAGCCAGTGCTGGAAAATATTTGCCAGCTGGCAACACTGGCACAACGTTATGTGTACCTGAAGTTCTGCCATGCCTTTTTTCTTATTTTCTGATTTCCCCCTTCGCCTTTATATTTTTACTTTTCTTCATTTATTTATTTTGAAATTACATCTCCAGTATTAATACAACTGTGACAGATAACTGGATCGTGAGAGTTTGCAATGGCGAGACTGATCCTGGAGTTCCAGTGAAAAAAAGGACAATGTCTGTCAATGGTTCATTTGTTCAAGAAAGTTAAAAATAACCAAACCACGGGCAACCACGCGTCAGTTTGCCATGGTCAGTTACACCCAATCTCACCGCACCATCTGCCTATTTATGGTGTCCAGAAGGGTCTCCGCATTGTTCACACCATTTGTCATTTGATGTGGGGCAACTGGGACCGATCTCTGAGTCAGAGGAACTCAACCGAGAAGGTGGATGAAGGGGTGGAATTTTACGGTTTTGAATTAAGAACGGGGTGTTTTTCTAATGAGATGAGTTTGGGTCTGTTATGTGCCTGCTCAAATAGATAACTGCACATTATTTTCACTCAACTGAAGCTTTTCAGCCGGTAAAGAATGCCATAAATGGACACCATTAATTTCTTCCTACAGTGACCTATTAGCCATCTAAAAGCAATACAATGTCAAATTTAACAGTGACAATATTGAAGTATTCATTTAGAAAACCATCAGAATTTTGTCAGACCAGTCTCATAGGGTTTGTGCACGGGTTGCCAAGCGAGGTCCATCTGCGGCATACACGTACATACATGTAGAAGTTTTCCTTAAAATTTAAGTGAACATCTACATGTATGTACATTAATTGCACACTGGTGCACAACACTGGATAAGGTTGAAAGATTAATGCATACAAGTACAATATGTGAACATATCATGCTGCATACACGTACATGTACGGTACATACTGTACATATTGTGCCTCTGTGTTATCATGCTTCTGTGTGTACACAACACGTGCGCGTGATCCTCGTTAAAGCAGGAAAGCCAGACAGCAGATATCCCTGGCACCAGAACCTGCCTAGCAGAATGAACAGTAAATGTTGTACTTTATGGCAAATCACTGGGTTATCTCTCACATTTTCACGGAATTCGTTTAATCTGGTACCCAGCAATGAATGACAATAGCTTTAGATTACCAACATGCTGTATTGTATGTATTCTTAATAAATGTGGAGTCAATGGAGTTGACTCAGGAAGAATACTGTACACGAAATTACATTATTAATGGCCTTACATGTAGATCAGCAACAGAATGATGTTGACTTCTAGTACACGTACTAATCAAACTTAATCTTACGACAGTCAATACACTTCACATAATAAGGTTTCCCTTTTGCCCTGGCCATGCTGGCTGAGATGTTCTATTCATTTCCCTATTTGCCTGAATCCAAATATATTAGATATCATCAATACAGACAGTGATTACCCGACAAAATCCAACTTCTCTTATTAGGCCCCTGTTATTTATTTAAAGCTGAAACACAGGTACAGTTTGTACTTGAAAGTTGTAGCCTGCTATGCTACAACTAGGTCTGTGTCAACGGGCCAGTGCGTTTCATTTTTCACAAACATTTTCTCCCTAGGGCCTACTGTATCTTTTACTGGTTAAAAATAAAAAGATTGAAAGAAAAGATAGAAAACGGTGAAACCTCTTTGGCCAACTCACTTTGTTTTGCCTTGAGTTTGGTCATAATTCGCTGAACCTGCGGAATGTCCTCTTCTTTCACAGCCTTCAGTAGCTCCATATCTTTTCCCATGGTCTCTCTGGCTCGACGCTATCCAATCCACGAAATTCCAAGCAAATGCATGGGGAATTCTTGGCCCTGGCTGCTAGATGTGGTAGATTCGGTGAGAAATAATCCAAAGGTTATTCCTGACGAGCAAGGTTCTAGACATTTTCAGTACTTTCAGTTCTGCATTTCGCAAGGCCGGTTACAACAAAACCCCATGTTTACAGAACCGAACCATTCATGCGTGTTTGAATTGAGTGCTCTCCATCTACCAGTGCACTCAACGCGGCACGAGCTGTTGCGGTTTCCAGCTAGGCCTGCCCACTCACCACATCGAGTCGCAACTTTTCCCAAGTTCCAAATCCGACTGAAACAGATTCCAAATGGAAGGCCCCTCAAGAGGTCCTCACACTTGATCAGAACATATCCCTCAAAGAGAAGATCGAATTGCCAAGATGATTTGACAGTGTTTTCATAAATTCGAGATGGTTGATCCCATGGCCCTCTTGGCGGTATCATCAACAGCACAGAGTTTACGTCATCAAGGATAACAGGACTTGCAATATACGTACGTACGTACATGTACATATGGACACGGTACGTTATGGTATTCCCAAATCTCGGCTCAGTTTTCAATACGCCTAATTACTACCCCCTGATTTCGAAGCTTTAGCTCAACAAAAGATAATATTTTGTTACACAAACCCCAAGATACTAATTATTGAGGAAGTTTTAGGGACTTGTACATTTGGTCTGAACACTGTTTGTCTGTAAGTGATTTCGATATCACGGAAGACTTGTTAATGCTAACGAATCCTCTTTTTGAAAACTGCTCGATTCGTCGAGCGCGATCGCATGCAGCGCAGGCTGCAGGATAGGATGGCACGATCGGGAATGGCTCGTGTAAAATGAAGCGCGCCCTCTTCTGGTCAAACCCTCAAGGCTGTGTCTGGCATGCATTCGCCGGGCGATAGGCGAGATAACTCGCGGAGTTCCGAAAGATGTTTGCATTCGATCAGTAAAACAAAAATTGTCCATAACATTAGTTTGGTGCAAGACATAAAGCATCTATCGACACTGAGTGAATACACTTTTTTATGTTAAGTCATCAGCTGCCCTATAACGTCTTAGCCGTCGACTGATGGCTCAGAAAAGAAGCATACGAAAAAAGTTTCGAAGGTCGGGCAACTTGCAAAAGGAAATACAGAAATAATTATGATGTAAATAGCAGTTAGATTTTGTGTTACTGAGCGTTGAATTGTCGTTTACGCCTTTTCTCTTTTACAAACTTTTGACAGGGCAAGCTCTTTTCACACCAAAGCAACTACTTTCGGTTTTGAACGAGTGATTTCGCACAAGCGCAGATTTTCCGCAAGGGCATTGTGGTTGGATTAGACATGTCTTGTTTATTTATTTATTTTTTTAAATTTTATTCTAAATCTTCAGGCATAAAAACAGTGAAAGTTATATACAGGGGCTGTCTTGGAAATACAAAAGTTACAAACCTGTCATTCGAAGATGTGTATGACCAGACCCCTGACAACAATTAATGAACTGAAAAAAATAAAAAACAAAAACAGCATATGAGATGCAAAAAAATAAGTACTTTAATAAGCAAGTCAAAATCCCAGAGAAAAGGGAAAATACACAAAAATTATAACCACCTGACCCAAAAAATCGAAAAACTCTAACTGGAACACCACTCCCCCCAAAAGAGAAAGAAATGAAACCACATAAACTGTTCGTGCAGTTTGTGACTCAGCGCCTCTAATAGCTGCAAAAATTAATTCTTATGTTCACGATTGACAATGCCGATTCCATCTAATGGAAGTTTGAATGAAATGTTAAGCTCTTTTTCCGTGGAACATGTATCATGTTGCAAGCTCAGTGAGTGCCCTGAGCCTCTAGAGAGAGTGGGTAGCATTAAGTTGTGGATCTGTAATACGACTGGTTATCTTAGAGACGCGCCAGTGGGAGGATTAGGAAGCTTGATACCGGGAAATCTAGCACCGGTGCAGTGGAATAACAGGGGTGTTCCCCAGTGGACGTCTGTGCCCTGGAAATCAGGATCTCTGTCTCAAATATGAAACGTTCAATTTGGTTTATATACAAAGGACCGACCACTTTCCCAAGAAAGGTGGAAAATGCTAGCGGTTTTAACCCCCAAAATATGACCATTAAAAAATAGTTTTCTCAAAGGGGGACACTTACGCCTCTGTCCTGCCCCCCCCCCAGCCACTGGTGTAAGTTTTCCCTTGAACTTCGGGACAAGCTCTGAAATATCGAAGGAACCAGAATCAGGGGGGTGGTTCTGTTCATTTGTAGATTCAAACAGAGAGAGAAAAATAATGACAACTGTTCTAATAAATGAGGTTTTTGTTTTTCAGCTGATATCTGGATGTAAATACCAATCATATTTTGTTCTCTCAGAAAAACGGTGAGAATAAACATTTGTGTTTTCTTCCTATCTGAAGCGTTTTCCGTGTTCTGAATTTTAAAGGTTACACTTTACTGGTTTGTTACAAGGGATCACCAAACACTGAGACATAGAATGCAAGACATAAAAACTTCCACAATATTTTATTACAAAAATATTAAAATCATATTCATGCAAATGGATTAGGATAAGCAATATTTAAATGATTACAATGGACGTCTACAACACAAATAAATAAATAAATGTACAAAGCGTCTGCTCTAAACAGATTTCTGCTTCATATTGTCTCATCTCATCTCATTAGTGAGCGCTGATACATTAGTCAGGTTTACAGGGCACTCCTCAATTTACAACCAGACCTCATTCAACTTTGTTGCCAAGTTTGCAAGAGATCATCTGAATCTTCTGTTTTGAGCTGGATCCAGGCCTTTGCTGGCAGACAAAACAACATGCACAAGCTCACAATAAACAAAGCCACAGCTATGTCTATTATCTCTGTAAATTTCGGGATGGCCCAATTTACTAAAATTATCTACAATTACTGAACTGGTAAAACTGGCAAAGATATTGATAGGATTGGTTGGCTGCTGCTAGGAATCGTGGATGGTTACTGGTGAGTTGCTCTTGTGCACCTGTCTGGTTTCTTCAAGTTGATCTGAGAAACGAGAAAACACGTAACAGCAAATCTACCTACTAAGGTAAAAATGCCATGATTTATTGGTTTGTCAGTGTGTACATTTTTGTTTTCTTTTTGGTCTTTTAATGCCATGGATGAGAACAATTTCTAAGAGAGTCCAAAGCAATTAGAGTGGATCAATACACAAAACTACATAGAACACGAAACAGTACAAAAGAAAGTGTGGCAGTTCTCAATGTGGCCTAGCAGTAGCAACTGGTAAACTCATTGCATCTATCATTTTTTGGTGTTCTCTGCATCAATAATCTCCTCATCTGAAGATGACGAGGAGGAGTAAATGTCTTGGTCAGCCTGTCGAACATATAGCTCCTGATTTCGGCTTAACTCTTCCTGCAGGAAATCCTTGATCGCATCTGCGATCTGTTGATGCTCTCTGTGAGAAAATTGGAGGATGAATTGATGTTAATACAGCATGTTCATTTTTCTTTAGAGATGTCTTTAGTAAGCTTTAAATTTTGTCCTCCACAATTCTAATTCTCCTGCAATGATAAAAAGCAAATCCCAGCCTGGAAAATTTGGATCACCTTGATGCAACGACGCCAACGAGCATCATTAATATTGAATCTACATGAAGAACACTGGTTAAACAGACATTGAAGAAAAACAATTGATTGTTACAGGAAAAGAAATTTTATCAAAATCCAGTTTGTCATTGTTTTTTAAATATTTGCTTTACACAAAAAACTTTTGGTAAGTGATGACAATGTTGCAAATTTTCCATCAAAAGGTTGGCTACACAATTGGGGGATCTGAATCTCCTTCTGAATCCTACGTATGTTCCAACAACACTGTTTTTTCCCCCCTCACCTTGAGTTTCCAAGGGTGCATTTTTCTGTAACTGGCAGCACCATTCCTGAGGTCATGTGGAGAGCCACGTAGTAGCCACGGCCAAAGAACCGAATGTCCTCTTGCTCCACCTCAACGTGACAAACCTCCGAAATATCAGCAACAACTACATCCCACAAATCAAAGCAACAATCAGCACTTACATTTAAAAAATCATTCATGTGGTGTCATGACTTTGTCCATTTTGTGTCGACTAAATAGGGGAGCCCTATCAGTTATTGAGGGGCTCCCTGAGCCCCCTTGTCTGAACTCTAACCCGCCTTTTTGCCCCCCTCTATGAACCTGGCTATGCTACTGCATGACAGTCCAAGGAAAATACAAGCAGCATGATCAATAATGCACATCCCAAGACTTGTACCTTCAAGCGTCTTGTCCCCAAATTTGCTCCCCAAGATTAATGTAGGGCACACTAAGACAACAATTCAGTGACATAAGGCACAAGAACCCTCCAGCAGAAGTCCATGTCCCCCTGCCACCATTTTGAAATTTTGAAATGTACACATTTTCTATGAAAGCCACAATTTATCTGCTTTCACTAAAATTCAAATAAACACCCCCCCCCAAAAAAAAAACTCTCACTGTTACGCCATAGCTCCAATCCTTTATTTGGAACAGATAAACCACACCAAGAGGTTTTACACTGTAAATGACATTTGAAACCAAAGTTTTAAAGACGTTGCCCAACAGCCCTTACCACTCCTGGCCTTTTGGGTTGGCATGACGAGCCTCTCCATAAGTCTATCTCTCTCCAGCTTGACCACGGAGGACTCTCTGTCAATGACACAATCCTAAAGGAAGGACAACATAGGACATAATCAAAAGAAAATTTCACCTCAATCTTCAAATTCTCCAATTAAAGGGACGGAAAGCAAGTATAACATTATTGGAATAGCCAGACCATAAACAGTTCAGGCTTCACTTAAGCTGGTAAACTGGTTTTGATTGGTACAAATTTAGCTGTTGAGAAAAGGATCCACGTGTTGAGAAACCTAGGTTAATCGATCACAATACTAACAGTTAAAGTTTCATCAGTGCTTTTTTCCATGTTCAAAGGGATTAATTCAGCTAGAAAGAAATGTTACAAATCATGTAAGTTTTGAGACTTGACAAGCCTGTAAACACACATAAGAAGTGTGAACATCTCTACATACACAGGTCCTGTACACTGTATGAAACTTAGTAAGTCCAACCATCACTGACAAGCATGTGTAGAGGGTTTGCATGGCTGCCATCTTGGAAGCCTGTGCTTTTGTTCCACAGAGTATGTACAACAAAGGTTTCCCTGTGGGAAAAAGAACTGCCCTGCAAGATGGCTACTACGCAAAACCTCCATTCACTATACTGACTATCATCAAATTTTGATCAAACTTATTTTAATATGAACATCAGAATGACAGAAAGCAATCCCCTAGGAGCAGTGTTATTTACAGACAACATACTGGACTGAACTCAGTCAAGGTCAACAAGCTCGTTAAACCCAAATACACAGTGACAAACACAAACATTGACATGATGCAACACAAAGCAAGTGAGCAATAAGATTTTGCTCCGGGAACAGATTCATTTCTGTGCAATCTGACCAACCCACCTCCCAGTCATCCAGCGATGAAATGGCAACAAAGACAGTGCAGAAGAACCAGAACAACTTCCAGAGGATGCCTTCATCGGAGTAGATCAACAGGCCCAGTCCCATAGCTATAATTCCTGGAATTCAACGACGAGATGGCTCCATGAAGACATCTTACCTCTTCTCAATTACAATCTCAGTCATTTCACTTCACTTTAAAAATGGAAATGTAGGATTAACTAAACCCAGTGGACAGTTAAAAAAAAAATTCAATACCGTGACATCTTATATCCCTCTGAATAACACTATAGCTACATTCTGGTCATCTGGCGCTCAACTGGACACTACATTTTCATTTTATGACGTCAAAAGACACTGTATTTTTTGTAAGTTAAAAGAAGTGTACCTTCAGCCAAATTTTCCACTGAAAACACAATTTTTCTTTTATACTTAGGCCACGACATGGACAAAAATATGAAATTCCTTAACTGAATAGGCCTATGTATACTGTTGTACATCTATTTTATAACTGAATAATATGTTTGGGCATACCAAATGCACTTTGGCATCTTTTACTTCTACCCATTAATACAGACTCCTCCAACAGCTGAACACATTACATGCATTTTAGTTGCTCCCATTAATGACTATGATATTATAAGATCATCCGGCCCGCTGCCCATTGAAAAAAATCATATTTTGGAAAGAGTTCCATATACGGACACCAGTAATTATTTCCTACAGCCATCAGAAAGCAACAACATGTCCAGAAAAGTTTTGTTAAGGAGGGAAAATACCAATTCATTTACTAAGAAAACACAGAATTTTTCAAACCAGTCTCAAACTGTTTATGCACAGGCCCTGTTACAGAGTGTCAACAAAGTGGCAGTAGCGTCCGCGCATGGAATCTTTCCCAAATTTCTCTTTCCTCAACAATAACAGTATTTCCGGCGGAGAGATTTCACAGATTGTCTGACATTATTCAATTACTTTACAGTGAGATAGGCCTATGTAGGCCTAACGATGAATTGGCCGTTTTTGAGATTTTGCAAAATGCAAACAACGAGCATGCGGGGATTTCCTTACGGATGAAGCCTACTCTAAACTCACCCATAAAAGTGGCCCAAGATCTTAGACTGGGGGCTCTTGCTAGGTGCAATGTGGACTTGGAACGGAGTAGAACCTTCATATATGCCATCTTTTCTGAAATGATTTTCAAATTCTGATTCTGAATTTACTTTACCCGGAAACAAGTTTAACTCTGCACGTGTTGGGTGGAGATAGAGATAAATAAACAGCGCCCTCAAGAGTTGATATTTTACTTTTACTTATTTTGCTGCTACGCGCGGCGCGGGCGGGGCAAGTGGGCGCGGCCGGGCAGACGGCGTGGCGAGTGGCATAAGCGTCGTAGCCTTGGCACGACGCCTAACGTAAGCCCACAATACAATTGATTTTAGATATAAAAATGTCAAAAATATAAGGGTTTGGAATTCCACCAGAATCTTTCTGAAAGGAAAAATAACAAGTCGAAACTGAGTCTTCGCACGTACGTTTGACTGAAAAAATGATGTCGGATTGTGTTGCGCCGTGTTAAGTCTCTTGGCATGTACATAAAAAGAAAATATTTTTTTCTCGTCGTAAGTGTGAGAGCACCTGTTGGTATGTTTTATGTAAGGAATGAAAAGGTTTGAGGTAGATAGCGAAACGGCAAGTGCTGAAAAAAGCTGAGCTGGGCGGTTTGTTTCAGTCACCGCGTCACACCGTTCATTAAAAAATATTTTTAAAAATTGGATTTATTTTAATAAGTGCTGCACCTTCAGTCTAACAATTTCCTAGATATAAATAGGCAGTTTACTTTTTGACAGCAAGTTATATGCGAGATATACGATGCCCCAGAGTTAGCCTACTGCCATCTCGATCGCCGGGGGGGGGGGCTGATAGGAGTTCCAGGGTAAATTTTCCCCCAGTATAATGCTGTTGTATGTCTTTTTTTTATCTTCTCCTTCTTCTTTTTTCCTTTCCTGGGGTACGGAAAGTTGTTACGAAGGGAAGTTTTTTGCTTCGACATTTGCTAGACAGACGTACGTTTAAGGTTTGGCATTATTATGTATATAGGCCCTATACATGATTAAGTAAGGAAGACGCATGATGTGACTGCAGCCTTCCCGGAATAAAACAACGAGAAGTGCAGTTCCAATATCATGATTTGTTCTACATTCGGGGCCGCAGTGATGAGATATGTTGCCATTGAAAGCGCCGGTATCTCACGAACGGTGTTACCATCTTTCTGTGGCGGAGGTTTTACAGATAAAAAGGGAATCTTTTTTTATAAAAAAATCACCCGCCCTGGACGCACTGGGATACGTAGTATGGGTGGATTTGTTGCTAAAAGTGCAGACGATGCCATTTTCAATATTAATCTCGCGGATGTTAAAATGACGGCTCCACCGTCAGCAGAGAATAGGACCTTATTTCGTTGACATCCATGGTTACATGCTGCATGTACGAATTTAGGATCTCCATGCAAACTCTCAGCTCAGATAATACAAATAATGGGCCCCTGTCGTGGCGATTTGCTTTTGTTTTTTAGGCTGGTAATTTTCGTTTATATGAAAATACTGCATGAAACTAAGCAGTATCGCAGGACAGAATAAAATTGAAATCAAAATGTTGAAGTTCCTTCTTTTTTACATTCAACTAATTTATCTGGGTTCTGAGGATCAAATCACTGGGTGAACTTTTAAAACTTGTCGCTTGCTGAATTTCTTTTTCCTCAAAAAAACTTGGTCGGTCATTGAAAAAATGCCAATGTTATTATTAAATATATATCTATAAATGCATATCCTGAGTTGAGAAAAAAGAATTGCAATTTTCATGCAGTGTCCTTTTAAGGATTTCAGTATTCATGGTCGGCGCGTTCGTGTTACCCTCTCGAACGCCCTTGGTGGGTGTGCACTATTGATGTGCACTATTTGGAAGAGCAACAAGAACCATTAAAAAAAAATTACCAAAATCTTAAGGGAAGAGTTATTTCATGGGAAACACAAGTCATGGTTTAATTGGTTAACCCTTTCCCTTCAGCCATAGAACAAGGACCACCTCCACCACATCCATAAGCAACCTATGAGGGTACAGTCCACTAATTCAAGCCCCATTGAAAACAGTGTAAAATCAGAACTGTTCAGGGCCCAATAAGATGCATGCCAACATCCCTGAGATTTCTGAAACACAAATGAAATTATTGTCTGGTCACTAATCTTTCAATTTCTTTTCAATTTTTTTGTGGGTTAACCAATTATATTTTAATTTTTTTCCACAAAACAAAATCACCCCCGAAAAGTGATTTTTCTGAAGTCTGATTGCAGCCATATTTCAAGTGGGAACCCTCAAATTTCTCGGGCACTTAGGACCATTTTTCAACTGTCGTTTTTAGCCATCGTGCTCTCATATGAAAGCTCAAAGACCCAGGGAGTTGATCCTGGCAACGATTTCCACAGTCTCACCATTTTGGGGGCCAAACAATCTCCCTTTTCCAAAGATACTGTGGGGGGGCACTTTTAATGCTAATGACTAGCCAGAAATTCTCACTTGAACTTAGTGGTATGCACCCACGAGCTTCACTACTTAACTTATTCGCGATTCGCGCAGCGCCCTCACCCGATCTAAATTATTGTACTGTCTGAGTAAGGATGGACAGGGACACTGATTTTCTGGGGAAATATCGGTCAATTTCAAGTAAATTAAAAAAGTGAGTACGTTTAAAAGAATACAGTTCTTATTATGGGAATACAAATGTTTTTTTTTTAAGTCAAGATACAACTTTAGTTGTAAGTGATTATTTTTATCATCTTTTTCTCACATTAGCAATTAGCATAGCACGTATGCTCCCTGCTATACATGTACGTGTACATGAGTGATGTTGTGCACGATCGGTCGATATGTGGATTAACCCCACTAGTGTGGCACGGACTCTCACCCCCAACGAGGATGGATCGGGAGTGAGAGTCTGTGCCACACTAGTGGGGCTATATGTGGATGTGCGCGATGGCTCGATCGTTGGGCAGTTGGGCAAGCATTTGGGGCACAGTTGACTGACGTACATGATGCTAGATTGTGCTGGAGTATACTAATAGATAAACTGAATTATGCATTAAGATTGAGCATGGTCTGACAAAGTCTCCTCCAAAATGACCAAGCAACATTCGTTATTGCAACACACACGTGCACAGACCATCCTGTACTCGGGCCAATGTAATCATTTATAATTTTTTCATTGTTTGTGAACTTTTCCAATCTTCCAAGATCCACTCTACGCCTCGCCTAGCGTTTGTTGGGTGCGATACCCTTCCTTCCTCCTCCATAGTCTGACTTCACTTAGAAAGAGACGAGAATTTCTTATCATTTATTCTTTCTTTCTTTTTTTGCACAAAGACGATTTCTGCGGAAGCCAAATGTTGCCGAAGCAAGCGATCAGTTTGGTAAGGACTTGTCACATCCCACATTTAATTTGGTTGTATTCTGTGGCTTCTCTTTGAAACTGAAAGTCACATTAATGTTGTGCAGGCCTGAAGAAAATGGTTGAAATTTGAGTTGATCAAACTAAGGAAGGTAAGATCAAAACCTCACTGACGAAAATACCTTTCAAACATTTCACTTCTTTTTACAAGGTTCACTAGCAAAGACCCTTGAGAATCAGGAATGTTCATCCTATGCAGCCATCTGTAGCCTAGCCAAAGCCAGGTAAGAGATAGACCTAACTCCATCGCTTCCTATCGGAGAAAGTTGAAAATAAGTCAAAAGTCAGTTCTTCTTGTGTGTCACTTTGGGAAGACGTCCATACATGGGCACCATTAATTTGTCCCTCTCTACAGTAAATACTTTAAAATACATCAGCCTACAAAAATGATAAGGCCAAAAGAAACTTCTTCTGCTTCCGGTTTCCCGACCGACCCTAATTTTTTGGCTCAACCCTAAAATGTCTATCAGCAAGTTAGAAAAATAAATGTTAGAAAATTTCCCAAAAAAAATCAAAAAAATAAATCCTGTTGTCTTTTCTGTCTTTACAAATTGGCTCTGAACAACTTTTTTCACATTAAAATATTTGTATGTTGTGTTTTCCTGCTTAAATTTGTAACTTTCGAAAAGAAAGTTCTGTTATTTTCACGAGTTCCCTTCGTGTTCCGCTGTCGCGGTGGTGAAAACACGTGCACAAAGCTCAGTGCATTAAACTAAAGCAAAGCTACATGTATGCTGGTTCCTGCCATGCCATGCCCATGCAAAGAAAACGAGATGGAAATGTGGCAAGTTGGTGTCGTTACAGGCACGCTATCCTACAGCTGTACGTCGAAAAAACATTGATGTTGCAAGAAGTTAATTCACAGAAATTAGTCTGTTGTCTGTGTGCGTATTTTGTATCTTCACGAGTTAAATTTCAGGTTGTTTTGCTCGTACTTGAAGCGAGCGTGCTTCCGCAAAATTTCTTGCTGCAGCAGGATGTTTATTGCTTGCCCGTTTAAATGCATCATCAATTCTTACCACGCGATACACAGACATTGTTGGCCAATTTGCCGTCGTGATTACCCAACTAGCATTATGCATTGTGATGTAAATTGTCCATTTTCAACTGGGGAAAGTTTTACATAGATTAAGGCAAGTTTTTATCCCATTTTGAGGCAATTTTAGGTAGTTTTCGTCCCCATTTGTGCCATTCAATCAGCACAAAAAATGGACCCCCCCAAAAACAAACGTTTCCGACCTAGCAACACTATTTTTAGAGGCATATACTCGGAAGCAGAATGTTTTTTGGGCCTAACATCCCAGAAAATCAAAGAAAGTCAGGAAAATATTGAAGAAATTTCTTTGAAAGCTCCGGGAAATTTTCAGACCAGTCCGTCCGATATGATGTTCATGAACATAGTCTTTTTCTTTCTGTTTAGGCTGAAATTAAAATCGTATGAAACCTAACAAGCAAAACAGCAAAGAGAATTATGCTGGACTTTGTCTGAGCAGAGCTTTGAAGTTGGGGATTAGCATAGTGGTATTGTCTCCTCCCTTCACCTCTACAACCCAGGGTTCGAATCCCACCCAGGCCAATGTCTTTAATTGAGTTTGAGTTCCCTCCCTTATTCCACGGTTTTCCCCAGAATGTTTGTGTGAGTTTTTCTCTCACCTGTGCAGCTGAACATTTTTTATTGTCTTTTCCCCCATGGCCCAAGGGGGAACAGTTCATTGGCCCCGAGCAATGAGGACTCCTTCGTTGGGAACTGCACTTGGCTGGTTCACCGGCGACTATGAAATGCATGCGTCGCAGTTGCATTCCTGTCAGTGAACATTCGCCAACAACATGCCTCTTTTTGACCGATGGGGGGGGACGCTATTACTCAAGGTGGATAACTGATAGGGCTTTATCCTGGTGAAATAATAGGGATTATTTGGTACAGCTGTCAGAGTCCACAGGCATCATGCCTGACTGTCCCTGAATGCTGTTGGATTAAGAAGGAAACCCGGAAGATGACAAAGAAGTAGGGGCCAACGGGCTGAAAAGTCACACCCTTGTGTAAACAGACCTCAATGATAAGCATGACTTCTGCCTTCCTCCCTCAGGTGCGAGCACACCTTATCCAACATGCCGGCCGAGGCAGAAGCGTTAGTCAGCGCCGCACACCACTTCATGCATGCAGAGGAGGGGGACCACGACCTCAAATGCCCCACCTTTGAGGAAAACCTTACCGCTGCCATCAACTGCTACAACCATGCTGTCAGAGTGAGTGTTTCTCCGTAAAGGATTTAGCCTTGTCATGTTGATCTTCCATGTTTCATTCTCTGACCCCATCTACATGTACACTTGTCATTTTGAGGTTTTAGTTTTCTGATTCAGGCGGTCACTTGAATGGCACAAAGTCATGAGAGATGGTAAACGCTACCAGAAATGTGCCGCTGTCTTACCAATGCAACCAGAGACAGACACTAAGGTTTTATAGACCTGTGACATAACGATGCCACGTTTTGTTTACATGTATACTTTCCTTTGTCATTGAGGTGGAACGCGATCCATGCAGAAGTGCAAACATAAATAATGCGTGATGTCGTTATGTTTTCAATAGTTCTATTGATGAATTAGTTTG